AGAGCACCAGCGAAGGGTTCAGGTAGAGAGAGGGGCCTGCAGATGGATCCTGATTCGGGACCACAGGGAACCCGGAGGGCTGTTCTGAATGAGCTTGATTTTTATTGGATTTGGGAGTTACAGTTAAAATAATATTGTAATACTATTTTAAATAGTAATGCAATAATACTATATAGTAATACAAATAATATTGTATTACTATTTTAAAATGCTATTTGCGATGAGAGCACAAGTGGTATGTGTAGAAAATTCAATGATCTCATTCAATACTGTGTCCTTAGCTTCTGCTAACACAACATACAGAAGAGATTTACCAAACTGTCTACTGCATGCTGATAGTTGGGCCTCAACTCACATTTTAAATATAGGAGGAAATGGGATTCACATATTCAGTTCCATAAATAGTACCAAAGGCCATTCTATCATTGATTAGCAACAATATTCTGATTTTGCCTCCAGATTCCTTATCCCCAAGAAGGCCAAAGTAATCACAGAGAGATCATGTAGCATGATTCTTTGGGCACTTACAAATAGCTTTCTACCGCAGCATCTCACTTGATTCTCAGGGCCTAGAACACAATTGGCATGATTGTCTCCCACTCAATGGGTGGAAGGTGAGCTCCCCAGTACAGTCTGCAAAGTCCAGGCTACCTGGCTCCACCTTCTGGTTCAGCCATGGAAGAGGAAGCTCCCAAAAGTTCATGGAAAAGGTTCCAATTCCTTTTCATCCCATTCTCCATGAAGTTTTGGAGTCTGTGTGACTTTGGGCATTTTTTCAACCTCTCTGTTGTTACGCTCTCATCCAGGAATAACGATGCCCTCTGGCTACGGCTTTGGGGGCCCGTTAGAGATGGTCTCTGCACAAGCCTCGAACAGAACGACTGTCACCCAGCTCCTCTCTTGCTTCCATTCCTGCAAAGGAGACGCGATTCTGCCTGGAATGGCTCCTTGGATAACGGCTTTTAAAAATCAGTTTAATAAGTTTCCAAGGGACTTGATACCGATGGTGTAGGGACCACATTCCAAGAACCTGCTCTGTGATCCTCTCACAACTTGAGTGCTAACATTCACTCAAAAGACACTCATCCACATAGACGTTCCCCCACCCACATCATACACAGTTTACTTAACTTTTGATCCCCAGTGCCTAACACCCATCTGATTATTCATCCTGAACTGCTCCGTAAATAATTTTAGAAAAAAAGACTCTTTTCTAATAGCAAGAGAAAGAAATGGAACTGCTGCTTCAGCTCTTTCCGAGGCATGGCTTTGCAGTGAGGGCGAGGAGCGGGTCACGGCACCCAGGTTGTTTGTGGTTGATGTCGATGCCCAGTCCATCACTGTGGAACACTGCAGCCGACTCTGCTGAACTCCATGCACGAGGAACAGAATATGCTTGGTCTAGGCTATTCGTCTCCAAGGTACTGAGGTCAATCTGTACCTCAATAAGAGAAGACCGAATATAGATGAGAGCAGATAGTTCCATCTCTCTCCCTTGGTGTAGGGGGTGGATTTGACCTGTAGACCTTGAGGTTAGTAGCTTAATGTCTAACCCACAGTGCCACCAGGGCTCTATGTCTACAAACAAGAAAAAGAGAGAGAAAGCTGGGAGAGCAGAAGCGTAAGATTCATACTCAGTTGCCAGCTATGGGGAACCATCATAATCAACTATTCCGCAAATATTTTTTGAGGATCTACCAGGAATCATGGACTGGACTAGATAGACTCTGTAACCGAATATTGATCAGAAAAGATAGGATGTGCCTTACTGACTTACAAGCCAAATGAATACTTACCTTTTTGAATTATTTGTTGCTTGATGTTTGAATTTATAGAAATACACTTTTTAACTTTATTTGGATTTTCCAGGTTGCACTCAATATGACGCAGCTATACATTTTTTTCCATTAGTGGCTTTAAGGTTAATAAAAAGTTAATTGACACCATCTTACAAGAAAGATTAGTGGGAAAGTCTATGGAAGTGGAGTTATTAGAGTGCAGCTAACCTTTGATTACATACATGTTGTTCTATTAGAGAGGGCAACTAAGTAACACATTGCGGTGTTAAAAAGAAATGTGCAGCTGAGAACAGATGCATGCAAACAACGGCTAATCGCTGTGGAATGCAGGGTGCTTGAAAGAGGTCATTCAGTACTCCAAGATCACTTAAATCTTACCTTCACATTTTGGATATAATTGGCAAAAGTTGGAAAACCTGGTAGTATATCCTAACAATATGAAAAGATAACATATAGAAAAATAATGTAGAGCAGAAACAAAAATGATATTGAATCTAAGAAGAAAACCAAAGCAAAGGGATCATGTTTACAAAGAAATTGGCAACCATTCTTTCAAGTGAGTGATTCACTGAAGGCGTTTTCAGAACTTTTGAGACTAGCCAAATAATAAACTCTAACACAGTAATTAATGTATTTATCTGGCAACTGTGATAGTCATACAGGACAACCAACTGTTTTGATAACCATTTCTTTAAACGACACAAAACATCTTAGCGTTGTATCAAGAAAGAGGACAAGGCTCGTGGATTCTCTACACGTACACAATTATCTCTGTGTTCTTAGAACCATTGGGGCTAGGCTGTTCTGAAGGCAGACAATAATATTTGTTACAATGGAAGAATGGATCAGTGGATAAATAAAATGTAATTTAATATCTGAGACAGTCAAGCCAACCATTAAAAAAATAATAATTAAATGTGAACTCCTCAACGAACACTTTCAGAGTGAAGGTGTCGTGATCGGTTTTAGTGGTTGAAGGGAAAAGTCTAGAAATGCCTTTTTCTTAAGAAACTTAAGATTTTAAATGGCTTCCAAAAAATATTTAATGCAAATAAATTCATAAAGAAGGTACAAAAATCAAATACATACCCAATGCAGAAGCCTGGTAAATATGGTAATGCCAAGATTAAGAAAGCTATTCACTAAGACCCAGTACATTGATATTAAGTATTTGGAAGATGATGGCATTAATCTCCCTAATACATAGAGTATAGACAGTCTTAAAGATACATCACAGAATTAGGTATCCAGTTAGCTGCATTAAAGACGTGTAAGATGTATATCATGAAAAAATATATAATACCCACTAGCTCATAGCCATCAGGTGGACTGCAAAAGTTAAAATACACTTCCCCCAAAGTTAAATTCTGAAATAACCTTAAAGGAAATCTCATACATCTTCTTTGGTGGGAGAGGGTGGGGGAGGAAGGGAGAAATGAACTCTAAAATTAATGATCAGAGTTTAGTTTGTCTCTCTCACTCACTGCCACAGTGTCTATCGGGGCTCATAGTGACCTTACAGGGCAGAATCGAACAGCCCCCTGTGGGAGACTGTAAAGGAAATCTTCATCTTTCTCCCATAGAGCAGCTCGTCGGTTCAAATTACTGACCTTGAGGTTAGCAGCCCAAGGCGTAAGTCACCAGGGCACACAAAGTCACCGTGAGTTGGACTTGAGTCGGTGGTCAGGAGTTTGTTTTGGTGAGATTAAAAAAACAAAACTACTATAGGATCTTCAGTAAAGTGAATAAGAAAACATATCAGAGGTGTGTGTGTGTGTGTGTGTGTAATCTCTCAAGTATTAAATTTAAGCACCAAGTGTCAGTTTAGGCACAATATCTGAAGTATCTCCTTTTGTTTTTTTCACGTTTCCGGTCATACGTTGGTCCATGTGGAAAGGCCACTAATGCCAGTCTTTAGAGCATTAGAAATGAAGATACCAAATCAGAAGTAAATCTAATAGAGCACACAGATCTGAAAACCCCAAATCTGGTTTTCTGTAAGCTGTATGGAGGAAGCCAATTCTTTCTGGGTTTCTTCCTCACATGCCAACATCCATGTATAAGTACAGTTCCAAACCCAGAAAGCCCCAATGACCCACAAGTACATACATCAATCAGTGTTAGGGAGTGCATGTACAACCTTTGCTGTGCCTTTTGGGGTGCATTCTAGAAATATTTACTTTGTTACCTATGGATGAGCGACTCTGGAGGTCAACATTATGGATTAATCCAGACCAGAAGTACAGACTCCTGAAGTTATAACTTTTAAGAAAACCAATATGTCAATTAAGTGCCAGGTTAATTTTATTAAAGGGACCTAGGAAATGCCAGGTACCTTGTTCTCCTCAATCCTTTCATCACTCGGTCATTTCTAAATATGGTCGTCTTTTTTCTATTCCAAGATTTCCAGTTATGCTTCTCTTGCCGTCTTCCTTAGACACATTTCTAAGTCTGCTTATAAAATTAGCATCTTAATTTTAAAAAAAGGAAATTCTCACTGCTCTTCATTGTAACCTCTAGTTACACAGAAAACTGAACTGTAGACCTCAGTAATGAGGAGGGAAGGATCTCTTAAAACTTTCATTTATTGTGGGTGAAGGGAGACAGCGGACGGTGTAAGATATGAAAATAATAATTTATAATGGGATCACAAGGGTGGGAGGGAGGGGAGGGAGGGAAAAAGAAACGCTGATACCAAGGGCTCAAATACAAAGAAAATGTTTAGAAAATGATGATAGCAACATATGTACAAATGTGCTTGATACAATTGATGTGTGGATTGGTGTAAGAGCTGCAAGAGCCCTCAATAAAATGATTCATATTTTTTAAATTCCATTTATTATTTTCTCTGATGGCAAGATGCCTTGCAATTAATTTTAAAATCAACATTTAATCCACTACTTTGTGATAATAACAATATAGAGGATTACTTTAGAAAGATCAAGATCTTTCCGTGGCTTTTAAGAATAAGGAAGAGAGAAGCTTGAAAAACAATTTTAGATAGCCCTGAAAATCTCAGGACTTGTCTTTCTAGAATAATAATCCTAAAATAGCACTTAACAAAATGGGTCAGAAAAGCATTCCTTATAATAGAGAATAATCAGGAATTCTTAACGAAAATGTTTAAAAATGATAACTAACTCTCTGTCATTGAGTCGATACCAACTTATAGACACTCTGTAGGACAGGGTAGAACTGCCCCCTGTGAGGTTCTGAGACTGACTCTTCATCGTCGTAGAAAGCCCCCTCTTTGTCCTTTAGAGCAGCTGGTGGTTTTGAACTGCGGGCCTTGCAGTTAGCAGCCCAACTCATAACCACTATTCCTCCAGAGCTCCTTTGAAATGATAAGTAATTCTAAGCCTGTATAAGTACATTATAGTGCATCTCTACCCGGTCAGAGTAACACAGAAAAGTTACTTTATAACATTAATACTAAAAGAAAATTAGGGGGCCAGGGCTTGGCGCCCCAACAGACTGGACTGGAAAACACTCCTAAAGGCCAACAAACAGTCCTTGAACTAACTACAAGCTTTTAAACAAATGAAAAAAGACAATTATAAAACAGTATGCATGCTATATTTTTGTTAAAATGCGAGGTACCCCTCAAAACCCCAGAATTCTTTATTTCAAAGCTATGGGTGTTTTTTTACATTAAAAAAAACCTGATCACCTTCAAAGTACTTTCTATTATACTTAATATATTTATCATATCTGCAATTCCATTTTTGGAAACATTTTTTGAACTCATCTGTTTGGATGGCAGATAACACCTCCCTCATTTTTTTCTTCACCTTTTCTATGTTGTCGAACAGCTGTCCTTTTATGTTCCTCTGCATTCGTGAAAACAAAAAGAAGTCCTATGGAGTGAGGTCAGGTGAGTCAGGTGTGTGGGGCAAGAGAGGCATACTGTTGTTGTCAAAAACTGGCACACTGAGATGGCTGCATGAGCAGGTGCATTGTCGTGGTGGCAAAACCAGTCCCCCGTCTGCCACAAATCAGGCCTTTCTGGTTGCACACTGTTATACAATCTTTTCAGAACCTCTAAATAGAAAGCTTGATTAACAATCTGGTGGAATGAACTCCAAATGCACTATCTCCCTTACATCAAAACAAAAACAAAAACAAATTAGCATCATGAAATCTTTGATTTCATTTAACAAGCTGTTGGGGGACGAGGTGACGATGGTGTCTTCCACTGGCTTGATTGATGTTTGCTTTTGGGGTCATAAGAATAGCACCAATCTGGTCACCAGTAATGACCTTGGGGGATATTTTTGGAGCTGTTCTTTCAAAGCAAGGCATGTTTTCAGTCGACACTCTTTTTGCTGGTCAGTCAGAACTCAAGGCACAAATTTCACAGTGACCCTTCCCATTCCCAAATCTTCCATTAAAATTCACTGAACTGAGCTCCAAGATAGTCCTGATAAGTTCCCTATCTCTTCAATGGTCTATCATCAGTCTTCAAGCACAAGTGCATGAATTTTGTCAGCATTTTCATCTGTTTGGGAAGTTGACAAATGTCCAGAATGAGGTTTGTCATGAATTAACTTTTCACATTTTTTGAAATGAAAAAAACACTCGTACACTTGAGTTTTTGCCATAGCGCTCTCCTTATAAGCTGTGCTCAACATCACAACAGTTTCTGTGGCATTGTTCCCAAGCAGGAAACAAAATTTCACAGCTGCACAGTGTTCTCTTAAATCAACCATCACAAAAAATGAGGTTCAAGCGAAACTGTTTTCACGAAAAAATTCACTGTGATCAGAGAGAATCTTCCCAGGCCGCACCACTGGGTGCACTAACTCAGAGTGTGTTGCTGGATGCTTGCCTAGCCGGAAAAATATGTACTACAAAAGTTCTGCCCAGTGGAGCTTTTTTCCATATTTTGGTGGTGG